AAATGTAATTTTTTAAACCTGAAAAAAATCTCTATTAAATAGAAACTTCAATGTAATTTACCTTTGTTATTCGACCTGTCTCGGAAGTTTCAAAAACAAATTTGCTGAGGACATAGAAAATAAATAAATAAATAAATAAATTACAAAATACTACAGACATTAAAAACAATCACAAAATAAATACAATGGTTATACACCCTTTTGTCTATTATGTGACTTTTCAGTGTCGCTAGCAATTCTCTTTCAAAAAAAAATCTCTTATCATAATGGAATATTTCTAATTTATTTATGTTCACCCATCAGTTTTGTTCTAACTTTGTCATTTCTGGCTGAAATATTTAAAATGCCCTTTCTTATAAATATATTAAATGTCTCTTAACTCCAACTTTGTAATTGGATTCAATCAACTCCAAAAACTAAAGGGCAAAGTTTATTTTACCGATATTTGAAAATAAATCATATAAGCTCATGTGATTTGTGAACAAAAAAAAAATATACCTTTAACAATTTAAACTAAATCAAATCAAATCAAATCAAACCAAATCTTAAGTCTTATCAAATAGGATTGGTTGCATGAATCCTTCTTCTTCATTTGACTCTATCCAAAGTCATATCGTTAGTCAAATTAAAGAGACTTATATCTCTATATATTACACTAGACCATGTCAATCTGGTTTACCCCTTCCTCTAATACTTTCATATATCATCACTGTATCACATCTCTTCACTACTGTCTCCGTTGATCTCTGTTGTATATGACCAAACCATCTCAATATATTTTCCTTCAACTTATGTTCTATCAGTATTACTCCTATCTATTCTCGAATATACTCATTCCTAACTCTGTTCTTTTTAGTCTTGCCACACATCCACCTTTACATGCTGGTCTAATAACTGTTTTATAAAACTTTTCTTTTAATTTAGTGGGTACTCGTTTATCGCACAGTACCTTAGATAGACTTCTCCACTTAAAGTACTCTGCCTTAATTCTATGGACCACATCTGCTCCAGTCTCCCCATCCGTTGTGATAATCAATTATAAATAATGAAAATGTTTACTCTTAGGTAGTGCTTAGTCCTCAATCTTCACTTCTCTGCTTTTATTGTTACTGTTACTAAAATTACATTCCATGCACTTTATCTTAGTTCTGCTTATCCTAAATCCTTTAGATTCAAATGCTTCTCTCCAAATCCCCAACTTAGTATTAACTCATTCTATAATCCCATCCACTAACACAATATCATTTGCAAAAAACAAACACCATGGCACATCATTTTGGATATTTCTCGTTAACACATCTAAGCAAAAAGATAAGGACCTAACTCTTAGTATAACCCTACAGTAATTGAAAATTCACTTGTCTCTCTAGCCAAAGATCTAATAGTGGTCACCACACATTTGTAGATATCCTTAATCACATTAATGTAATCTTGTCACTCATTTCTTCTCTAACACCCACCAGATTATATCCCAAGATATTTTATCAAATGCTTTCTCAAGGTCGACAAAAACCATATGAATGTCTTTTTTCTTTTCTTTATATTTTTCTATTACTCTTCTCAAAAGATAGATCATTTCTATTATTGACCTACCAACCATAAACCCAAATTGATTCTTTGACACCTCTGTTATAATTTGCACTAGACATTCTATCACTCTCTTCGACACTTTCATTATATGACACATTCGCTTGATTCTTTTATAGTTGTTGTAATTCTGGACATTTTCTTTATTCTTATAAATTGGTACTAAGATACTTTTCCCCTACTCCTCTAGCATTTTCCTAATCAACAAAATCTTACTAAATAACATAGTCAACCAAGCCACCCTCTTCTTACCCAAACATTTCCAAGCTTCGATAAGGATATCATCGAGTCCTAAATCCTTATTTAATTTCATCTTCTTAAGTGCAATCTCTACTTCAAAGTTTCTAATCCTACGATAGAACATATAGTCTTGGTTTTCCTTATTACTGTCTACTTCCTCCCCTTTTGACCTATTTATATGTTTATCATTTAACAACTTCTTAAAATAGTTCTTCCATCTCTCCTTCATCTCTTCACCCTTTACCAACATTTTAGAATCCTCACTCTTCATGCACTTAACCTGATCAAAGTCACTTGTTTTTCTCTCTCTTATCTTAACAAGTTTGTATATTCTCTTCTCTTCCTTTTTACTATCTAGTCTAGTATATAAGTCATCACAAGCTTTTAACTTAGTCTCTCTCACTATTTTTTGATCTCCTTATTAGCCAATTTGTAACTCTTAAGTTTTTCACAGTTTTATTATTCTATCACTTTTTAAAAACACTCTTTTTTCGTCTTTACTATCGCTTAAACCTCTTCCCTTCACCACTAAGTTTCCCTAGAGTTAGGCCTTTTTTCTTTTGACTCTCCAAGAACTTCTCTTGAAATTCTCCTTATACAATTGACTATCAAGTTTCATATGGTGTTAGCACCATCTTCCAAGTCCCAAGTATCTTTTTTATCTATTCTATTCTTAAATATTTCAAATTTATCTCTTTTTAGGTCTCGCCATCTCGTCCTACGACGTCCACTATCCTTCCTAACTTGGTATTTCCCTTTAAAGCATAAATTTAGTACCAAAATCTTATATTAAGACGTTAGGCTCTCTCTAGAAATTAACTTACAGTCGTTGCATTTTACTAAAAAGTAATATATTTAACTCCTAATTAGTCTACTCTTAAAGGTTATCAAATGCTCATCTCTCTTCTTATATATAATATTCTACTTTCAGATCAGAAGCTAACGCAAAATCTAAAATATTTTCTTCAGTCTCCTTAATCTCTTCACCTTTCACCAATATTTTAGACTCCTCACTCTTGGTGCACTTAACCTGATCAAAGTCACTTGTTTTTCTCTCTCTTATCTTAGCAAGTTTGTATATCATCTTCTCTCCCTCCTTACTATCTAATCTAGTATATAAGTCATCACAGGCTTTCAACTTAGTCTCTCTCACTATTTTTTGATCTCCTTATTAGCCAATCTGTAACTCTTAAGTTTTTCACAGTTTTATTATTCTATCATTTTTTAAAAGCACTCTTTTTTCGTCTTTACTATCACTTAAACCTCTTCCCTTCACCACCAAGTTTCCCTAGAGTTGGGTCGTTAGGTCTTTTTTCTTTTGACTCTCCAAGAACTTCTCTTGAGATTCTCCTTATACAATTAACTATCAAGTTCCATATAGTGTTAGCACCATCGTTCATGTCTCAAGTATCTTTTTTATCCATTCTATTCTTAAATATTTCTAATTTATCTCCTTTTAGGCCTCACCATCTCGTCATACGACGTCCACTATCCTTCCTAGCTTGGTATTTCCATTTAAAGCATAAATTTAATACCAAAATCTTATATTAAGACGTTAGACTCTCTCTAGGAATCAACTTACAGTCGTTGCATTTTACTAAAAAGTAATATATTTAGCTCCTAATTAGTCTACTCTTAAAGGTTATCAAATGCTCCTCTCTCTTCTTATATATAATATTCTACTTTCAGATCAGAAGCCAACGCAAAATCTAAAATATTTTCTTCAGTCTCATTTCTATCACCAAAACTATACCCACAATGCACCCTTTTATATCCTAATTTACCTATTCATACATGGCCGTTAAAATCACCACCTATAAAAAGCTTTTTCCTATGGATATCTCCTGCAATACCTCATTCGTTTGATTTAAAAAATCTCTTAGTTTGATTATCTAGTTCTACTTGGGAGTCATATGCACTAATAACGTTCATTATATTCTTTCCAATAGCTAGTATAACTAACATAATTCTATCATCTTTTCCAATGATCGTAATTACATTTTATACAAGACCAAAATAGCCATTGTACATAACTCATTTTTTAGACCGTGGCCATTTTTTAAAATTGAAAATAAAGTGTGATTTACCCCTATTATAATTAGATATAAGCACACAATCTCCCCACACACCTATTTCACACTTGCTGCTAAAAATGACAATTTCTAATAGTACACTTGATTTCACAAATCGCAGAATTAAGTAATTATTTCTAAATGACGACCGAACAACACATGGAGTACACTATGAGGGATAATTTCAAGTTTTCCAAAAAATAAAAGTATTATAAGCCATTTTCATAGTATAATAGTAAGAACAATTCACCCACGAGAAAAACATCCTGCACGTAAATTGAGTTCAAAATTTTCAATGAGTTTTTCTCAATTATTTTTTTTTCCCAATTGAGTATTTATATTTACACCTTGAAAACCAAAACTGAGCTATCATGTTTGGTTGGAATTACTCATTCAATCCTACTTTCATATTTGGAGCCAATTACGCATAGATCAATCAAGATTTAAGCCACATTAGCGTTGTGTCACATCTGTTATAACTTTCTTTTGCCTCTATACTTCTTTTTCTTGAATTGATGCCAGTTTCAGCTCTTCCAAGAAAACGATAGAGAAGATCACTTCCATTACTAAAAATATTTACACTTCTTTGAGGACCTTCAATAATACTTCTGATCTTTGCATTTGATCAACAAATGTAGTCAATCAGACTTAGCCAACAAGTTTTCCCTATTTTTTAAGGTGTTCGAATGAACTTTTGATGATTTACATAGTTTTCAAGAGCTGCCAAAACATTTTAATAAAGTTCTCCAAGTGACGTACTCGAGAGTTGGTTCCCTTTTGTTTGAAAAAATTGCTATGTTTCATTTCCAAAGGTAGCTACGAGCAAATGGAACATCTTTCAAGAGTACCAAGACAGTCACATGAATATGTAATGTGATGGACCAAAAAAATCTGTGATTCCTAATGGAATAGGTAACAATGTTAAACCAGTGCTTCTGGTTACACCAGGAGCCGTTGCATCAGGCGCCAAAGCATGGATACTCGTTCGTGTACAAATGTGCAATGTAGAAGGATTGGACCCGGTACCAAGCGGGCTCGAGTGCCTCTTTTTTTCTTGACAATGCATAGTGTAAAATGACAACAGTCCACAGAAAGCACCCATTCCACGCCCAAATCCACACACACACATATATATAATCTGAAGCAAATGCACTGCTTCCATTGCTAAATACAATAGATGCACTTGGCAATAAGTCTTGGACAAAAAAACACCAAGAAAAAAATAATTAAAATAAACTTTCTACATATCAAGTGCAGAAAAATATATAGAGCATACAATCAATCAAAATATTTAAAAAGAAGAAATTGCTGCTGATGATAATCATGAACGAGGGGCCGCCATTTGCTGCCTCTTTATCCTCTCCCCCTGCTTCACCATGCTGAATCAAAAAAAGCACCAGATTTTAGTGTCATACATCTTAAATGAGAGAAGAATGTAGAGTCAAGTCTAACATCTGCTTTAGTTACAATTTAAATATCAGTTCAATGCTGCAATTATGCCCAATGATGCTAAACTGGCACATAAATTCCAAGTGTAAAGGATGAGAATCAGAACTGCTGACAATTACAAGTGATTTGCCATGGAAGAGTCCATTTATCGTATACTGGGGAATTGCCCATGGTGATGGCAAAATGGATGAAGTGTCACGTTATGCTAATCATTAGTATGGGCATCTGTGTTTATAGAAACCTAGGAAGATGAACGGTTAAGATTGTGCACTAAATGGCAGCGATGAGGTGTCATTTCTAAGAATCAGGAGACGATACCATTTGAATACCTACAAACGGCCAACACATTCATCCCTAATTATAGACAATGCCAGAAACTTCAATACAAAGTCCAATCAAAAGCTAACCAATTAACTTGACTACAAGAGAACATTTATAATTAAAAAAAGGAACCTTAAATGTACATCAAATTTTCTTGCACAGATAGAAGTAAAACATTCATTACCAACAAAGCACAGGAAAAATAAAACAGAAGACAAACATTGCAAGATTTACATGATGGTTCAGCTACCAAAATTTAATATATACATGTCAACAACAATAGATAATAAGAATTCATCATCCATAAAGACATGATCCACCAATCCATATGACAACAAAAGAGAGAACATAGATATGTATGCCTTGAACAAAATAAGATCCACAAACTTGGGATGCCAAAAATAGAGCCCAGCACCCAGGTAATAGTAAAATAAACAAAAGACACCCACATAAATAGCATATATAACAGGTAGCACTGCATCAAATAAACTTGTAACTCTTCTAAAAGAGCTCTTGCATCAATGTTTCAAAATCAATAATGGTCAATCTTACACAATTTCCGAATCACCTTCTCCATGATTTCATGGCATCAGAACATAAACTGTGCAAGTATATACTAAAGCAAACATTGATCTACTCAATAATGCTTCATAGGTTCAAGTCTGTCTTAAACATTAGAAGCATGAATTGAAATGCAGAACTGCTCAATATTAAAGAAGAGGGAATTTGCTGAATTCAACTCCAAGATGCACAAGCACATCTACCACAACCAAATACATTAACATTGTTCTCGCACTTAAAATCTAACAACATTGGTTAAGAAAATAAAAAACCAAATCTTGAAACTGTTTAATTCATGTCAATGAAATTCACTATTTCTAAAACATAATGCAAACCCAAGTCAATGATGCGATCAGTGATATGATGTAAATTGGTGTAATGACTGTTGGACTCGAAGTGGATAACTTGTCATCTTCTCATTTCCTTCTCTTTTACTAATAAAATCCCTTTTGTTGCTGATCAAACAAAAAAAAAAAAATGCTATTGTTGTACTTCAGTTGCCCTATTTTATTTTGTCAAGGCATACTAGTGCCTCTTATGCTTAACACAAGAACGACAATATTTAATGTTTGAAACTGAAAAACTCACATTAACTTTTCCTTCCCCCTTTCCCTCTCCCTCGCTTTTCAGTCCAAGGGAAAAGTTGTGATCTATTCCTTTGATTTTGAGTTCTTGCACACATATTACGTACCAGATAGAATAATCTATAGTTATACTATTTCATCCATAGGGCTTCTAGTCTATTCTTATGATTTTGAGTTCTTGTACACTTATCAAGTAGCAGATAGAGTCACTCACAGTCGTACTATTTCATCCATAGGGTTTCAAGTGCAAGGCAAAAGACCTTTGTCACTGTTGGTGAGCTTGATATGCAATCTTGAGTCTCTTTCCCAACAACTAAAGCTTTTGGTACTAGTGGTATTTTAGCTCAGATTAGGTCCATTAGGAGAAGTCTTGGATTTAAGTCTCTCTGTTTGCATTTGTTTCTCCATATGTTTGGATGTTTACATCTCCATGTTCAAGACAGGGTTGTATGATATACATTGTCGGACCAATTTCCAAGCAACTTAGCATTTGGGACTAGTGCTAATCTATCAGTCACAACCTATAAAACAAAGATTTTGTTCGGGAAAAAAAAAAAACAAAAAAACCTATAAAACAAAGATGTGTGAGCTCAAGTGCACGCATGTGTAAAATTCATGTGCGAACAAGGGATTTTACATCTTGCCCTAATAAAGACCTTTCCCAGACAATTCTTTCAGCATCAAGGTGGGCCAAATGTACTTTCACAAAAAACACAAACGTTAACCCAAAACACATCACAATGCGGAGAAATAGCAATTACTTTTTGAAATAGCAGGAACATCAAATCAAATTGTTTATACACAGACACTCCCTCTACTATCACTGAATATCATTTATTATCCCCTCAACTTCAAAACTGTACATTTTAACCCCCAAATTATTATTATTATTATTTTTTTTATAAATAAATAAAAAAAATCATACAAATGCCACCCTTCTAGAAGGAGTTTCTTTCTCTCAGGCTGATTCATGTAATAAGTCCTTTAACCAACTATAAAAAATCGTACAAATGCCACCCTTCTAGAAGGAGTTTCTTTCTCTCATGATGATGCACACGATAAGTCCAACTATCCAAATATACAGTTTTGAAGTTGAGGGGGTGCCCACGTAATTAAGCCCAAGTCAAAAACAATGCTAACACCATTACCTGATGTCATGAGGAGTGATAAATATCCATTGAGATCCTTGTCTCAACGAAAAATCCACAAGAGCATCTAAGCTGATTTTCCGGCTAACGGCATCCTGAATATCAACGTAAAATAAGGAAATCATTGAAGTGGTCTTTTTTCTTCACAATTCAACGAATATAATCCATAAAACCTATTATCTGGATATCTATCTGGCATTAGCAAATGATCATTTTCAGTAAGAACTTACCATGAAGACATCAAATTCGTCCATAGCTCGAAAAGGGGCTTCTGTCATTTCATGCAGAGCTAGTGCAAAGCATAATGTAGAGTAAGAACGTTCCCCACCTAATAAACCATCAATTACAAACATCACATAAAACTTTAAAAACCAAGTGTTAGCTAATTTTTTTTATTAAGTTAAGAAGCAAGATTGTATTCTTGTATGACTCCAATGTTTAAGAAATATTCCAAGCATAGATAAAGCTTTTGTTTTTTGGTTGTGGTGAACAAAGAGGGGAGAAAGGGGTTTGGGTTTCATTTTTTCCTATTGCCTTTTTGATGTAGGACAACATTTGAAGAGTTTCTATATTTTTATTTTTACAATTTGGGAATTAGTATTTTATTAGGAACATAGTAATTTGGTATGAATATTCCAAGAATTACTAGGTTCATTAATTTTCATTGACTTTGTTTTCCTAATTTTTAGGTTACATATTTTCCAAGAATTAGTTTTGATAGTTGTTTTCTAATTTTAAGATAGCTTGGTCTTCAAGGCATAGTTTATTATCAATACCTATTTAAGCCCAAGGACAAACATATTTTTAATAATAATATTCAGCGTTTCTCTTCCTTGTGGATTTAAGATTCTCTCTTTCTTGTAGATTCGAGAGCCCCTTTCGTCTATTAGAACGATATGTAGATCGTGTGTATTCCACTGCTGCCAGGGACAAGCAGGTGCAAACCTATTGTTGAGATTTATCCAATAGCACAACTTATAATGTCCTATCCTCTATCAGCCAGCATCATTAGACCCAGAAAAATAATCAAATCTAAGAACCAATTGAATTTCCAAAAAGCAAATAGAGGTCACAGAAACTACGGTATGGTATGGAGTATATGAAATTGAACAAACCTGAGAGCCCTCTAGTGTCACGAACATTGTTATTTGATGCATCTTGGGGCATCTTCACCTACAAAGAGAAGTAGAATCAAGATAAAGCTCACATGGTCAACTTCGATGAACCCAGTTAATTAGAAGCAAATATAGCAAAAAAAAAATCTCATTTTTGTGTACTCCAGGACAAATTACCACAGCCACAAGAACATATACCACTATGATGCAAATTGCTTACCTCCATTGAAAGTGTCTCATCTTCATAACTAACTTTAACATGCCCACTGATTCCTTTGTTTCCCAGAAGGCTGTTAAATCTGGTTGCAAACAATAATTGATTATGAAATAGTTGAGAAAATAATCCTGCAGAGGTTTAGGGGGCTTCCCAGTGGGGTGAATAAATTATTTTAAAAAACAGAATTCTGAAAAATAAGCACAATATGGTTATGCGGAAAACTCATACCGCCAAGTCAACTGTCTCTTCAAAAGAGTGGCATTTCTCTGAAATTTGTTCCATCTCAACTCCTGGGCTTTCTGGCATGCCTATATTGCAATTACAAATATGAAATTTCATGGTGATGGATATGAGGTAATGAAAATGGCGTTATGGGGAAGAAAAGGACAATAGATAATTTAGTAACCTAAGAAGCATGGACATGCAACACGACACAGACATGCAAATTTTCAAAAAATGTAGGACACGACACATGGGGAACATGCACGAAAATATATTGTTTTTTTCTTTTATTATTGTATCCTATCTTATTTAGTTCAAACTATTAGTTTCATGTATGTTTAATCAGTGGACACGCGTGTTTAAACAATGTATACGAGTGTCCGACCTTTTTAGAAAATAGGACTTGTTTTGACTATTTTCGGACACGTGTCGGGAAGTGTGCATCGAGTGTCGGTGTCCGACATGGAAACGGCACTGTGGGAGCCAGAAAAATATATATATCAACTTATTGGGGCTAACTCAAACAAGGCTTACAATGGATCCAGCCCAAACAAATATCACATCACCCCCCATCCATATAGGGGGGGAGGGGGCATCCCAAGTGGAGGTATGTTCATCTCTCTGCCAGACAGCACACAAACACTCTTCATTTTTCTTCATCTTCCTTCTCTGATTCTAGGGCTAACTTTATCATCGGAGTGTCTCCGGTCGACAACCTCGGTTGGGTGGCGCTGACTATGCTGCCTTGCAGATTTACAGGAGCCAAGGTCATCTCTTCATTGGATCTCATCAACTATCATGTGAGAATTTTCTGGGTCTCACAATTGGTGCTATCTGTGGGAATCGTCTAAGAGAGTTCAACGAAGTAAACTGTAAGTAGAAATGCAGCCAACAACACTCTGATGGTGATCTATTTTCTCTCTGATTAAACTGACTGTAAAACCACTTTACAATTTGTTCTTGATTTGTATATATATATGTGCCTACTTACAAACTCAATGAAAACTTTTGTTCATGGTAAATATTGATGGAAAAGCTTTAAAACAAAACAAAATTCATAAATCTCCTTTGGTGTCTTCATTTCACTCTCCAAAAATGGGTTTCACACTTTTGTGTGAGCACAGCTTTTCAGGAATATGACATGAGTTGCTCGGCCAAATCCACCTAGGACTTTCTTTGATTAATTTCTTGCCTCACAACATTTATTTTAAAGTTGATTCTTGGAATATACATACATGTGCATGTGCTAACAATTAACAGGAATTAAAGAATGTGTTGTGGTTCAACAACCGAATGCTGAGTAACTCTCGCATGGCGTGATCGAGTTATGCGCCGAAACATAAGACCATCGTGGCGAAGATAGTGTGAAACCAAAGTCACAAAACTGGAGTGCTCTGAATTCGCCCGGACCCCTTGCCGAAAAAAATTGTCTGGGTTCTTCAGCGGAGTTCCGAACTTCTACACAGCAAATGGGTACACCGGAAGATCTATGGCTATGAACAATCCACAAGATATGTCCAGTACACCCTCTAGTGGCCGATTGCTGACCAAGTTTTTCAGCAATCTAAGAGGAGTGTCGATCGGCACCAATAGTTAGGTCAAGCTCGGCAAGCATCGAAAGGATGGTCGTGGAAACCAAAGTGATGTCAACACAAGTGATCCACTCGCCGACCGCAAAGCAGTTTTGACAACCATTGCCATGTGTAGCCGAAGAACAAGAAGACTCAAGTCGGCCTAGATTCTCTCTAGAAAGCACATCAACACAACTCAACAAGGCTGCTCGGCAATGTTCCAACCCCCACTTGTATTCGGCATTCGGGCCCATGCATACGCATTTCGGCAGTGTAGTGATTCATAGCAACTTGCTCGGCAAACCAACCAAGCTACTCGGCGGATTTATAACCCCGAGCTCCATTCTTTGGCAACGAGAACGGCCTCGATTATTCGCTGTTGAGCACATTCTTCCGTCGACCACACATCAACTGAGGACAAGAGCCGAACAAAAAAAATAATAATAATAATAACAATAATAATAATCTTATTTTTGGTTAACTTTCGGAGGTCCGACGACATCCAAACAAAAACGAAATGAGGCGTTTGCATGATGGAATGAATACTAGGTCGAGAGATGAATTCAACGCTGCAAAAATGATGTAAATTGGACTTACGACGAAGGAGTTAGCAGGGCTCAAAGTGAAGAGTTCGAACCTGACAAATTATGTCTTCCACGAAGTTATGCATGAAGGTGTTACATGAAGATGGCATAAGGATTTATTGTGCGCTTTTCGGCGCAAAGTGCTACGTTGCATCTTAGCTTGTTCAGATCAATTGGGTGGTCTAAAAACTTCGAGGATGTCTACCCTCATATTTTTCGCCGTATAGAATCCCTTTTCAGGGTCCAATTTTGCAACTTCCGAGCCTTTTATTGGGATCAATAAATCGGCCAATCAGGAACATTAAATGATGGATCAACGGTCAGATCGTGTCCGATCAACATGCAATTTTGATAGCAGGCTCTTGGAGCTAGGCCATCAACCACCACCTAGGGCAGGACCCACAACTTGAACTTCTTCACCATTTGTCATCTTCAAATTAAATAAATAAACAAATAAATAAATAAAATAAAAAGCAAATCAAACATAAAAATAAAAAATAAAAAATAAAAAAAAAATTAAACAAATAAACAAGCAATAGCCCAAGTATATTTACAATTATTAATTCATTTCTCTTCTATAACAATCTCATGATTTAATTCTCAAAAATGCAGCCATATTTGCTCGGCGCTCCCTACTCGGCAACATTACTCTGTAACATTTTTTGCAACATGGCTTATTCGGCTTAACATTCCCTACTGGCAACATTATTCCGCAACATTATTCGGCTTAACATTGCGTACTCGGCAAGATTGCTCGGCCATATTTCTTATTCGGCAACACTTGAAATTATTATCACATGCAAATCATTCAGCTGCCAACTTGAATTCGCACAAGTTTGCTTTCCAAAATTCCGTGGCCATAACGCCGTCATCAAGCTCAACGGCAATGATAATCACGGATGGCACGCGTATCTTATATCGACTACTAACTACACAATCTTACTCGGCACTAATATCTCGACATAAAACTAGCATCTCGACTTGCTGAAATCCACATTTGAACCTACCACAGGATTCATATCGGCTCAAAGAGTCCAAACCCACCAATCCGAGGAGCCAAGAAATAACCAAAGTCCACCGAAAGTTGCGAAATGGATCACATGTGCCGAAAATTGACATTTTTGAAGTTATCGCAATCAAGTTTTGACCATACCAGTGTGAAGTACTCAGTGAGACAAGTCCAACACAACAAAACTGCGTCAAAATCGAAGGTTAAACAAAGCTGTACGAGCTCGTCGAAGTTTGCCGCGCAATATCATTATTTAGCCGGAGAAGATGACTAGATTTGGAGTTGGCCAACTTAAGAATTATTGTGTGCATTGCGGCTAAGTTACCTCATGCCATAGCCGAATAATTAAGTCCAAATATTTAATGTGCAAAATACAAACATAAGGCTTAGTCTTGGCAAAGTGGTTCAATGCTCTCTCTTCCTTCCAAAGGCAACGGTTCAAGTCTTGTTGGCCCCATCTTTCCTTATCTTTTATTTTTGCCCAGCCATGCGGGAAATTAACCAGTGATTCGCAGAGCAAAAGTCTCAATCGATCTTAGCCATCAAATCCATTTTAGCTACTACTACGTCAACTGGAGTCCGATTCCAACGATCCAAAAGTCGTTTCCAACTATTTGGTGCTTTCTGAACACGTCCGTATGGTCTGATTTTGCAAATTCCATACCACAAATTTGTCGATTTTATATGCCCTGCCACATATCTATTGCCGCTCAAACAATATTTTTGTCGCCAAGCCTACAGTTTGATCAATGCCAACTTCAACAAATATTTGGCAACTTCTCAACTATATAACCACCAAACTAGTTATGAATTCCTTCCAAATAACAAATTCCATTCAACCGCCATGAGGCCAGGAATCCACTTCCACAATTTGTTCTCGGCTTTCTCGGTTTAACTCGGCACTTTTGGCAAGACTCCATTCTGATTTCCTTCCGACTAAACAATGTCATTCGAAAGCAATGGGGCAAATATGTGGGACAGACTGACTCAACTCAAATAAGTCGGCAATTTGCTTTCGGCAATTTGCTTTCGGCAATTTGCTTCCAAAATCTACTCGGCAATTCCTTACAACGGCGCAATGCTACAATGCTATTTTTTAATGCTTAACCATTGGCGTACTTTTTTCCACTTTTCACTTATTTGTGATTAACAAGTCTATCTCATTTGGTACAGACAATCAATGACACAAGATGCATTACTCCAAATCCTTACAATGTTGGCAATTGCTCGGCACTTAAAATCAGCTAACGTCTCCGAATACAATGCAATCTTTGCACTTGGAACGAAGTGCCATCAGTAAAAATCTCCGAATTCGGAGCAAAACATACATATAGTCATTATGGCATCCTTAGTGCAGCCCTCGCCCGGGGGATATAATACTGCGGCCTACGACCCTCGCCCGAGGGATATAATACGGCGGTCTACGGCCCTCGTCCTTGGGATATAATACCGCAGCCTACGGCTCTTGCCCAAGGGATATAATACTGCGGCCTATGGCCCTCACCGGAGGGTAATAATACTGTGGCCCATCATTACAGAGATCTCTGATGTAGACCCAAGGGGTCCCTATGTTAGACCTATGATAGACATTATTCATTGAACCTCTCTATACTAGTATCACTCATTGGGCTTTAGCTCGCCCCTCTCCCTTATATACATATAGTTATACATATATTTGCACATACATTCAACCATGCATGCATTCATACAGTCATTCATCCATTCATTTTATTCATTTATCCATAGTGTTCTTTATCAAGAAATCTAACATCTATTTGAATAGTGTAGTTCAGCAATAAAAAGTTTCATTCCTTCTATCGCAGACAACGAAAGTTTTGGGGCAATTGTGAGAGCCAGAAAAAAATATATATCAGTTTATTGGGGCTAACCCAAACAAGGCCTACAATGGGTCCAACCCAAACAATATCACACCCCCCCAATCTATATAAAGGGGGGTATCCCAAGTGGAGGTATGTTCATCTCTTTGCCAGACAGCACACAAACAACTTTCATTTTTCTTCATCTTCCTTCTCTGATTCTGGGGCTAACTTTATCATCGGAGTGTCTCCGGCCGGCAACCTCAGTTGGGTGGCGCCAACTATGCTGCCTTGCAGATTTACAGGAGCCAAGGTCATCTCTTCATTAGATCTCATCAACTATCCATGTGAGAGGATTTTTTGGATCTCACAGGCACGGATACTCCACCTTCTTAGAAGTGTTCGTACTACTTAGGTAACAGTAAATATGAAGAAATACAAAATAGATGTCAAACTTTAGAAAAAGATTCAAAATCCTCAACAAACCAAAATCAGAGGGAAAGGAGAAACAACATATAAATCAAAAAACAAAATATGCAACATCATATATCTTGTACATCATGGTTGTTTGTTTGCTTTAGTCCAACAACAAACAAAATCAATATTGACCCCCTCTCTTGATCCAAAGACACAAATTAACTCATAGTATCAATCCTCCTCACATTCAATCATTGTAGTGAAGGCATTGAGGTGACTCCTCAGCAATTGTCTTTCTTAGTCAAGGCACACCTTGCCAAAAATAAAATAGATTTGTAATTTGCCCCAATAGAACCCCCTTTTTTCGGGACAAGTACGATAAAATTTTAGGAGTGCTAAATGGTTACAACCACTGTACACACAATGTACAAAAAAACTACAGCCTTCGCAAAAATATGTTCTCCTATAAAATCTATTAAAGGTGAAGAATAATCACAAAAATTCCCTGTGAGCCAAAATTAAATGTATGAACTTTCTTAAGCTTTAGTCTCGAAGGAACAGTGACTCCCCCACCCTCCAAATACACCACATTCAACGGATAGGTGCCACCACCACCCAACCCTTCCAATCCTTGTCAGACGAACACTCACCAGTCCATCATTCATAGAACTCATTTGTAGTAGCCTGCATCACCCACTCAACACCAAAAGTAGAAAATAATAAGCTCCACAAGTCCCTTAACACATCCTAGTGGAGCAATAATTGACTTACCGACTCCTTCACCTACCTACAGATACAATACAGTTAAGGAGTGAATAACAATCCCCCAAATTATCTATAGGTTAAGAAAAAAGACAAGCGCAGCAGTCCATAGGAAGAAAGCCACCTTAGTGGGCACTCCCACTTTCCAAATACTCTTCCAATAGAAAACTCCATCATTACCATTGCACAAAAGAGATATATCTGATTTCACTAAGGAACTTCCCATTACCTTTCCATCTCATCCTTTTAATCCACACGGACCAACACACCATAGAGTATCTTAACAAAAGTATCCACGCCTTCAATTCCTAATCTTGAATAGGCTGAATGAGCAAAGGCTCTAACCAAATCAGACATCATTAATACACAAACTCTGAAACCAAATCATTTTTGTCATGGCCAAGTTATTGTTCCCAAAAGGCCATTGACAATTGAATATAACACCAACAATCAGGCTAGAATCTAACATTGTGGCCATTCACTATCACAAATGTCATGTGAATAAAGAAATCTAACCAACACTTGGAAGTTGGATCCCTCTATCTAGCTCAATCTCACGATTCCCTCACCTCTTTGATCCAAACTTATAATCCACCACCCTCCTCCAAAAGCTACTAGCCTCCTCAGCATATCTCCAAAATTATTTCCTGTTAAAACCTATCACCTACTTCACCCACTAAACCTAACCCACTACACCACTACCACCTCACCTACTCCACTAAACCTTGTTAGCATATTATATTAAGCCGAAAGATACACTAGGGTTGTCTGTAATCATTTTTTGCACTCAGGGATAGCACTCAGGGATCATCTTGTAAATTGCCTTCCTTGTAAACCCTAATCTTCATCTATAAGAGGTGCAAAAGCCAAATAAGTAACATTTACAAATATATATATATATATATATATACACTAGTTTAAAAAAAGCCCGTGCAAGGCACAGGTCAAATGTTAAAATGCAAAAGTTTGCATGAAAAAATGTAAATTAATTAAATTATTAAGTTGATTACTTGTGTACTATCTTTTATGAGACCATAGACAATTTAACTTTTTATAAATTTTGGGCACTAAAATTTAAATGAAGCATTTTTATATATTTTATACATCTTAATATTTTAATTTAAAACATTAATAAATAAATTATTAAGTCAATTAACAGTTTTTAATGATATAAGAAATATCTTTCTATGGATAATTTTGATAACTTTATTGTTGCATAAGAGGGTAGTTATTTATTTATTTATTTTTGTTGTTGTAGTTGCAATTTCTAGTATTATAGGGGCAATTCATATTTTAATAAACCTCATGGATGTATTTGTAATTTATCCAAAAACAAAATATTCATGTTTCATAACTGGCCAAGATTTTGTGCATAATTATGAAAAAACTGTCATCTAAATTAGTACCACCAATATTGGTAAATATTACCAAAAAAAGAGGGCAAAATGGGAAAGAAGATACAAGCCTCCTGAACTCAAGCTATTCTTATATAGATAGATATATTCTTATCTTCTCTAAAAATGAGGGGTATATTTGGTGTTAAAACTTTATTTAAAACATAGGGTGCTAAATGCTAGAGCTGCCTATTCTTACTAGCATACTAAATTACCAACCAAATTCTAATTCACCAAACGATACTTGAACCCTTCAGATAATTACAATGAAGCCTTTTCAACCTCTCTACCACTTACCCGAAAGTATTTGTATGCACATCTCATGTGTGCACATGTTTGTCAGTTTATTTGTATTATCTATTGTGAGTTTCCATCAAGAACTGAGTTTCCTTTTTTAAAGCTAGGTGAGAGAGGATTTAATTTCCCAAAAGGAAACAACATTAACATGTATTGCGAAAAAAAAAGGGCTGGAAAATTTAGATAATGTTAATTATGACAAACAATTGATTGAAGAAATTGCTAGCAGCAAAAAGAAATCCATTCTTCAGTCAAGATTCAATGTTCTAGCAAGGAAAATGTTTTTCAAAAATAAATTTTGGAGTCATGAATGTTGGCCCCAAGCACATCACCATCAGTTTGGCTAAGAGTTCTGAATCCAAGAATTTCAACCCACTTGATTTGAACGAATGTAGGGGCCGACGTCATCCTACCAACTATACCATATATAAAGCTGTTCTATAACAATTCAAGATAGAGATCAGTTTGGAAGTGTCACCAGGCAATTATACTTTTTATTCCGCCTTAGCTTTTTAGTAGAGTTAATCATACTGCCAACATTCAATACTATCTATGCAAGTAGTACAAACCAAGTATTCCATTTATCAGCATCAGTACCGCGAATATGTTTGTGTTGTGTATGTCTCACGAGCAACTTAGCCATGTAATGATTTCTGATAGCATATGTTGTGGTTTTCAAATCCTTAATACAAAAAATAAAAAATAAATAAATAACTTACATTCAATTTGTCCCGATAAGATTTGTAAGTTTGTTGTCTTCTCAATATTTTTTGCTCCTTTTTCTGATACAACATTTTGAGATCATCTATTGATTCAGCATATCTGTGAAGCAAGCTTTCACATTTTAAACTACAATTCATTTTGTTCATGTAATACAGATATAGTAGAAAACATATCACGTCCATACCTCTCACTCTCACGCTGAATTCTCTGGTTTAGCCTACTTAATTGTGCACTAAGTTGCTCTGGAGTGCTCCCTTCACAACCCCTTAAAGCTTCGAGATCACTTTCAGGACAAATAATTGAAGCTTTTTTGTAACTCTCCTGAAGATATAACATATGATTATGATAAAGAACTGGTAGATGCCTAAACATTGGCTCCATTTCAAAAAGCATTAACAGCTGGCTAATCCATAGCACAGGAATGTAGGGATTGAGTTAGGGGTTCTATTATTCTTGTTGACTAATCAATGTGTATATATAATATATCAAGGTGCCACTTATACATTCATATATATATATATATCAACGTTACAATTTAAATGCATACGTATATATATATATATATATATATGAAAGGCTGCTGACAACACAACACTATACAAAAACTAAATGAAAGGTCCAAAAAAGGCTGTGTTTGGTGGAGCTTTCCAAACATGATTCCACAATATGATTTGAGTGCTCTGTTTGTTTACAATTTCAAAATTTGATTCCACACCCACTTTTTAAAACCTGTCTACCTGGTCATCCTTCCGGACGTCCCCCCGGACGTCCGGTTGATTGACCAGAACAATGTTCGTTTTTTTTTTTGGCACCTATTATTTTTATATTTTAAATAAAAAATATTTCGGGATTTTTTTTTAAAATTTTTATGAGCTTTGAATAAAATTTTAAATTGTGTGTTTGGTTATGAGTTGTAAATTTTTGAATTAAATATCATATGTCACATCACTCAATTCAAAACTCTTTTCAAAACTCATAACCAAATGAATTTTTCACATTCAAATCATAATTCCAAAACTCACAAACTCAAAATACAACTCTATTCTCAAATCATAATTCTAAAGCTCTACCAAATGCAACCTTCATTTTTCTAGGATCAACAGAAGCATCACACACAAAAGTAATTATACAGCAAACTAACAATAGTGGAGCATCGTAGAACTCATATAAGTGTAAACAGCATTTGCTACAGTATTTTTAAAACTTCCTGTCAATATTTTAATCAAATCACAGGCCAATATTCTGAGGAAAAGTCTGGGGGGAATGGGGAAGACAGGAGAGATTTGAGCTGATGTTATGTTCCAATGTTTTTTAATGTCTATCACAGCTACTCATGGACAAACCATGCTGGTTGGTGCTTATAGATAATATTGAATTCATATACTTAAAAAGGGGTTTGGCATGTACCAAACGGTTGTTTTTGAGCTCCTCATATTGTGCCTCTGCCTCTTTGATTTCTGGGAGGACCTTGTCATTCATCACTTTCTCATAATGAATCTTCTCCTGAAATAAGAGCTTTTACAATGTCAACAAACTTGCATACCCCAAATAACAATAATATCACTGAGCAAAAAGTCCTATGTGTGTGTGTGTGTGTGTGTGAGAGAGAGAGAGAGGGAGGGGAGCAAGTGAACTAGATATAGTAAGGGTAAAGGAGAAGCAAATGCAACCACTTCTGCAGAACGTAGATCTTCTTCAATCAGCATTAACTTATGCTCTGCTTCCTCAAAGGCATCAATTTCCCCTTTTGCTGACTCTACATTTTTCAATAGGGACAAAGAAGCATTTGTAATAGTGGAGGTGTAAATTGATAAATGATGTGAAAAACAAGATTACCATACCACATAAATTCTCAAAGGAAACTTTAAGATCACTGGCTCTAGTTTCTGCCTCCTTCAGTCTCACATGGATTTTTTCTAACAACATTTCTTTCTCTTGCACGTCATCTTGGATTTTCTGGACATCATTGCAAATGAAAGTTACAATGACAAGAGAATCCACATAAAAGAATCAATGACAAATTAGAACTTTAGTGACATGGCTATAAGGAACAAACAGAGATCTCATGGTGAAGCTCATCAACAGTAGATGCAGGTGCTGAACTAGCTTCTGCGACATAAGAATTCTTCACATCTTGCAGCGCTAATTTCTTATGCATCACAATGCGCTCTGTCTCCAAACGCCGCCTCTATATAAAATGAGATAAGAGTAAAAATGATGAAGAAAGTACATATTTAAAACCATCATTATGTGAACTCAAAAAGATAGGTATGTGCCAAACTCCTCTTTGTACATATAAATACTGAACTACTACTGCTCATAAGGACTAATAAACTATTTATTTTATTAATAATAAGTGAAGATCAGTTGGAAACACTAAAAGAACTCCATGTAAATTATAAGGAGATATTGAACAAGACATTAATACAGTCCACAATTCGTAACCTCGGACAGTTTCCAAGAAGGCAAGTCTTGGCAAATGAGCTCATCATGGGAAAATATAATAAATTAGGCAAGTTAGCTCATTGAGAGCAAATATGATAAGCAAATGATAACAACAAATAGTATCTTGCTAAGATTCAAATGTCACCAAAGGTGATGTTGAATGTATAGAAGTTGAAGAGAGAGAGAGAGAGAGAGAGAGAGAGAGAGAGAACGGCTGCAGAAATATTATTGAACTAAAAACTAGGGTTCTCCCCTTACAACTATTTATAATAATAATAATAATAATAATAATAATAACAATAATAATAAGAGGTAGACACAAATTGCATAACTACCGTAACACTTAACACTCCCCCTTAAGTTAGTGCAAAGATGTCTCTCATGCCCAACTTGCAACAAATGGAGTGAAATACCTTATTATTAAGACCTTTAGTAAATACATCAACCAATTGATCTTCAGACTTAACAAAAGGCATTCAATCAAACCCTTATTCAATTTCTCCTTAATGAAATGCCTGTCGATCTCAATATGTTTAGTCCTATCATGTTGAACAAGATTGTGAGCAATACTTATGGCAGCTTTGTTGTCGCAATACAGAGTCATGGGTTCACTACATTCAAGCCCTATACCACTCGTCAAGGATTGAAGCCACATCAATGCACATGTACCATGTGCCATAGCTATGTATTCAGTTTCAGCACTAGATCTGGATACCACTGCCTACGCCGTGTGACTAAATTTCCCCATACAAAAGCACAATAACTGGAGGTAGATCGTCTGTCATCTATAGAGCCTGCCCAATCTACATCTGTAAATGCCTCCAACCTCAAGTAACCATGATTAGAAAACAAATTTCCTTTTCCAAGAAATAAAGCCTTCTTCAACCTACAAAACTTTTTCAACTGTAGACTGAAATGAGAATCCTGGAGGTACATCCATATATACCTTCTCCTCCAAATCACCATGAAAAAAGGCATTTTTCACATTTTGTTGCTGTAAATGTCATCCCAAGTTAGCAGCACATGAAAGAATAGCTCGAATGAAATTCATCTTCGCTATAGGGGTAAAAGTTTCTTGATAGTCAATTCCATATGCATGGGTAAATCCCTTGGCCACTAGTCTTGCTTTTTACCATTCAATCGCCCCATCTGCTTTTTGTTTAATGGTGAACACCCACTTACACCCTACTAGTTCTTTTCCACTATGAAGAGAAACCAACTCCCAAGTGTTATTCTTGCTCAGAGTTTGCATCTCTTCGACCATAGCTACTTTCCACTTGAGATCATTGATGGCTTCTTTCCAACCCTGCGGGACACACACAGAAGATAGAGTCGAAATAAAGGCATGATATGTAGAAGACAAAGAATCATATGACACAAATTTAGATATGGGTTGTTGAGTACATGCTAACCCCCTTTCTAAGAGCAATAGGGAGACTCAAATTATCAACAATGGGACTATCAACAACTGTGAAGAATTAGGCTGGGGATCATTACCTATAGAGTCAATGGAAATTGGATGTAGAATTGGCATGAGGGATGATGATTAACTTGGTGGCACAGGAGAAACATGCTCTTTCTAACGCCGGGAATAAGTCTTAGGATCAACCCTGTCCAAACGACCACCGATGTCAGGCTCCTCATCAATAGAACTCTTAGGCTCCCTCTCACCACAAATAACAGCCCGCTGACTAGGAAGGAAAAAAGACAATTCATGCTGATATGACATCGCCACATTCGCAATCTCATTCGTAACACTCTCCCCCTGAGGAGATAGCGGAGGACAAGTAAAAAAGGACTCAGATTCACAGAAGGTAACATCCATACAAACATACACCCTACAAGTGTAAGGGTCATAGCATTTGTAGCCCTTCGAAATAGTCGAATAGCCAATAAAGACACAACTGACAACCTTACGATCAAGCTTCCCACAAGTGCGAGGTTACAGATGAACAAAACAAACACTCCCAAAAACTCGGAGAGGAAGAGAAGCAGTGGGATAAGTCCCAAGAGGAATTTGGAAGTGGAGGACACTTGAGGGCATACGGTTAATAAGGTAAGTAGCGGTAAGAAGAACATCCGCTCAAAAAAACTATGGAACTTTCATGGAAAACAAAACCCCCTTGCTATTGGTTGGGTACACTGCCAACGTCGAATTCTTGGAAGACAAGATAATTTACTCCCAACTGAGACTTTATCACAAAAATTAATTCCCAGCTTCTAATCTATTTTTCAGGCAATTGGCACTTTAAAAAGTGTTATCCCCTCTAACATTATACTAGATGCAACCAAAGGATAAAAATATTAGCAGCAAAATAGTTAAACGCATGTAATAGAAGGTTTTGTGATGAAAAAACTTGAGTACATTCCTTGTTCCCAACAACATTGTGTAATTTTGCATGTTTTGACTAATTTAACCCCTTGCATCCAAAAACCTTATCTCCTCCATGGCTAAAATATGAAGAAAGGCATATCTTCACCTGTAAAGTAAAGCATATAAATTTCTATGCATTTTGAGGTTATCATTTAGCCTTTGTATTAAACCTATTCTGCTGCCATATCAGAGATCTAGAAGTAATCACAACAATCAAACCCTTATTCAATTTCTCCTTAATGAAATGCCTGTCGATCTCAATATGTTTAGTCCTATCATGTTGAACAAGATTGTGAGCAACACTTATGGCAGCTTTGTTGTCGCAATACCGAGTCATGGGTTCACTACATTCAAGCCCTATATCACTCGTCAAGGATTGAAGCCACATCAATGCACATGTACCATGTGCCATAGCTATGTATTCAGTTTCAGCACTAGATCTGGATACCACTGCCTACGCCGTGTGACTAAATTTCCCCATACAAAAGCACAATAACTGGAGGTAGATCGTCTGTCATCTATAGAGCCTGCCCAATCTACATCTGTAAATGCCTCCAACCTCAAGTAACCATGATTAGAAAACAAATTTCCTTTTCCAAGAAATAAAGCCTTCTTCAACCTACAAAACTTTTTCAACTGTAGACTGAAATGAGAATCCTGGAGGTACATCCATATATACCTCATCCTCCAAATCACCATGAAAAAAGGCATTTTTCACATTTTGTTGCTGTAAATGCCATCCCAAGTTAGCAGCACATGAAAGAATAGCTCGAATGAAATTCATCTTCACTATAGGAGTAAAAGTTTCTTGATAGTCAATTCCATATGCATGGGTAAATCCCTTGGCCACTAGTCTTGCTTTTTACCATTCAATCGCCCCATCTGCTTTTTGTTTAATGGTGAACACCCACTTACACCCTACTAGTTCTTTTCCACTATGAAGAGAAACCAACTCCCAAGTGTTATTCTTGCTCAGAGTTTGCATCTCTTCGACCATAGCTACTTTCCACTTGGGATCATTGATAGCTTCTTTCCAACCCTGCGGGACACACACAGAAGATAGAGTCGAAAAAAAGGCATGATATGTAGAAGAATGAATCATATGACACAAATTTAGATATGGGTTGTTGAGTACATGCTAACCCCCTTTCTAAGAGCAATAGGGAGACTCAAATTATCAACAATGGGACTATCAACAACTGTGAAGAATTAGGCTGGGGATCATTACCTATAGAGTCAATGGAAATTGGATGTAGAATTGGCATGAGGGATGATGATTAACTTGGTGGCACAGGAGAAACATGCTCTTTCTAACGCCGGGAATAAGTCTTAGGATCAACCCTGTCCAAACGACCACCGATGTCAGGCTCCTCATCAATAGAACTCTTAGGCTCCCTCTCACCACAAATAACAGTCCGCTGACTAGGAAGGAAAAAAGACAATTCATGCTGATATGGCATCGCCACATTCGCAATCTCATTCGTAACACTCTCCCCCTGAGGAGATAGCGGAGGACAAGTAAAAAAGGACTCAGATTCACAGAAGGTGACATCCATACAAACATACACCCTATAAGTGGAAGGGTCATAGCATTTGTAGCCCTTCGAAATAGTCGAATAGCCAATAAAGACACAACAGACAACCTTAGGATTAAGCTTCCCACAAGTGCGAGGTTACAGATGAACAAAACAAACACTCCCAAAAACTCGGAGAGGAAGAGAAGCAGTGGGGATAAGTTCCAAGAGGAATTTGGAAATGGAGGACACTTGAGGGCATACGGTTAATAAGGTAAGTAGCGGTAAGAAGAACATCCCCTCAAAAAGACTAAGGAACTTTCATGGAAAACAAAACCCCCCTGCTATTGGTTGGGCACACTGCCAACGTCGAATTCTTGGAAGACAAGATAATTTACTCCCAACTGAGACTTTATCACAAAAATTAATTCCCAGCTTCTAATCTATTTTTCAGGCAATTGGCACTTTAAAAAGTGTTATCCCCTCTAACATTATACTTGATGCAACCAAAGGATAAAAATATTAGCAGCAAATCGTTAAACGCATGAAATAGAAGGTTTTGTGAAGAAAAAACTTGAGTACATTCCTTGTTACCAACAACATTGTGTAATTTTGCATGTTTTGACTAATTTAACCCCTTGCATCCAAAAACCTTGTCTCCTCCATGGCTAAAATATGAAGAAAGGCATATCTTCACCTGTAAAGTAAACCATATAAATTTCTATGCATTTTGAGGTTATCATTTAGCCTTTGTATTAAACCTATTCTGCTGCCATATCAGAGATCTAGAAGTAATCACTTTCTAGCATAAAAACCAGGCCATGGTGATAAAAGAAAAATTACCATAAGATACAA